GGTGCAGGTAGTTAGGTCAAAGTAAGATAAAATGGAGCAGTGCTGGACTACTTCAGTAGGGAGCTCATGGTGAGAATCATATTGTGGGACTTAGACTGAAGAAGAATGAATCAGGGAAGCTGCAAGAAAATGCTGATAGGAGGGAAAAGGATTGTCTGATAACAAAAAGGCAAAAAGGATGTGAGTACGTGAGAGCAAAATTCTGTAGCGCAGGAAAGGATTGCAGTACTCTGGAACTTCAGCATCCCTCACTAGCAGCAAATGCTAGCAATACCTCAAGGTAAATTGTGAGCCACTTCCTCCTGCTCTATTGCTTGTCTGTACAAAAGTGGCAGCTGGCTGCTGCTGCCAGCTGGTTGGCTAGTTCAGCACTTGAGGCTTTTTAATACACATAAAGGGTCTGAGCCTGTTGATATCTTAGTGAAGTGTAAACATAAATCCCCATAAAATTACATAAAATATATAAGAACATTGAGATTGTGAAATTAAGTACTACAGTGCCAGGAAATGCCAGAAATAAGGTTGTGTTGGCAGACCTACTTTGGCCTCATGAGCTATGCGTATGGGTGGTTTTTTTACAGGAAAAAACTTATTCCTTGTAAAATTAGCATCTTATAAAGGCAAATGAAGGACCTGCTTTGGAGATGAATCAGGACCGTACTGAGATGTGGTTGTCATCAATAAACTCCACCCTGACTTGTAACAGGAGCTGAAAGTGTACGGAAGTGTGGAAGGAGGCATGGAAGAGAAGGGAGCGGTATTACAATGGGAGCTGGTACTGCCATCAGAACTGGTTCTGCCAATGCATTCCTAGTGTTAACTGTGTTTTTGGTTTGCTAAGTGACCAGACTGAGAAACAGCTTTCCCATTTTCTCTGCACCAGAAGCCAAAGGAAGATGTACCTTGAATATGAAAGACTGTATACTGCTTAATACTCTGAAAGATCAGTGCTTCAAACCGAACACCTACACTTAGTGCAGCAGGTGTTAACAGAGGATTATATACCTCACCTCAGAGGCATTCATCAAAAACTGCATTGATGAGCTCCACAAGAAAGAAAAAGGAATGGCCTTTGAAGAAATAAGTCATTCTGGATGCAGAGCTGCGTTTGTTTAGTCCTAACAGTAGGCAAAGCACAAGTCCACACATTAAAAGAGAGAGATTAAATGAAAGACTGAATGACTTCTTGTTCAGTGAGCACTGTTTATCCTGTGCAGGGATTGAGGCAGGAGTCTAGTGGAAGATTGGTATCCAGTTGTGAAATTAAAAAACATAGTCTTAATGCACACAGTCAAGTGGGATTTAGGCATTGTCCACACAAACTTATCATGATCTTGAGTATTTCATTCTTCTGATATACAATTCTATTTTGTTTGAATCTGAGTATAATTAACCAATTGTGAAGAAGGAAAATACGAATATACTTATGAGGATCATTGAGGTATATGTTTCTTTTTTCCCTCTTGCTGAGCAGATGAAAATACTAATTTACATTGATCCCAGTTTGCATGATTGTCTCAGAAGACAAGAAATAGAAAACACTGTGCACACTGCAGCGCATATCTCTTTTTAGGAGATTTAATATATTTTAGGGATCCTTAATAGTAGCTACTAAGAGACACAGAAGACAGTAATATGGGTCTTCTAGGGTCAGCTGTAATGTGAGAGGCTGAGGATAAGAGAGTAGCCTGGAAAAGAGACAACTTTCCCTCTTGTCCTTTCAGCACAGACAGCTGCTACTTCATGGGATGAAGTGAACCTTTCTGCCTGGCATCTGCACAGTTCTTCCTTTCTTTCTTCTTTGTACCATAACTACTGACACTCTTTTTAGAGATGTGAGTTTAGCTTTCTTTCCCCAGGGTTCCTGGCTCTGGATTTTTCCAAAGATAGAGCTTTGTGTAGTTTATTTTGGAGTTTTGTCTGTGTGGAATATAGGAAATAGCAGTGTTTTAGTGTAGCCATGGTGATATAAGGACCATGGCTAGGAAGGGTTTACAAGTAGGGGCAATGTATTTTGTTTGGCCAAATGCTTCAGGTAGAAAAATCAAATAACCTTTAAGTACTGAAAAGGCTGCAGAATGGGTTTGCGGATATAAAGGCTTTGGCATCTGAAGTGTGGTACTTTTCTGTCCTCACTTTCATGTGCTGTTCTCTGTGTTTTTTATTCCTAAATTCACAAGGAGTTACAATAAATTTCCTAAACTATAAAAACATTAGTGGATGGGATAGAACTACATTTAAGAAGAAGAAAGATGTATAAAATGGGATCGGTGTGCTGCTCTGACATACCACTTCATTTCTCTTAGAGCAGAACACAAATGGATCATTTCTATTTGTAATGCATCTCTGAAGATCTCCTATTTGCTATGAAGAAATTGGTGCATGAGCAACATGCACCCAGGAACAGCAGCTCTTCTGTTTCCTATGCCTAAGTTTGTTTTGCATGGGCAGAAGATAAAAAAATGTTCTTTCCTCTCAAAGCTCTTTTAGTCCAGACCTTCCCTTTGTAAAGCTTGTGGCTCCACAGGAAATTCTGCTTTTTGCAAGTACCAGCTCACGAATCACTTAATTAAATAATTTTCTTTTTCATGCAGAAATGCCATGTCAGCACTCACACAAGAGCAAGGCATTTAACTTCATATCTCATACTGTATGACAAGCTAATTTCAGTGAGATATCCAAAATACCAATAATTTTATTTGCTGAGGCTAGCATGAGTTAAAAATTAATAGTTACTAAGCCGCACATCTGTGTTATTATGTTCCCTTTGATTTTCAGTCTTTCCTTAGGAGTCAGGAGGGGCTTTAGTGAGACATCAGTGAACCATGAGCAGGTGAATGTTTTAAGACAATGTCTAAAATTGTCAAAAATATACGATCATTAATTTTTTTCCTCTTTGTTTTATTCCTCCATGTACAATACTGACAGGAGGCAAGTTATTTTGTCTATGTCCAAAGTTACATTGATAGTCCAGATACAGGCAGCATTGGAGGAAACTCTGACATTAGAAATCAACATTGGCTGGACTTTTTTGCTGCTAATTTTCTTGCTTTAATTCTTAAAAAAGAATATCCATCCTTTACTTTCTTTCTAATAGATGTCACAGCATTTGAATTACAGAATAAGAATTTTCTCGGTATCATCATTTTTCTCGCACGCATGTATTTCAATGCAAGGCAGATGGGACAGATTATTTTATATTCATAATGCATATAGCTTTAGGAGAGCTGCACCGCAGTGTGTTGATGGGTTATGGCTGCATGGGTTATGTATTCTCAGGAGATCTACATGTTCAGAATGCATTCTTTTGCCCTTTCCCCCGTCGACTCCTGTTTTGCTATGATAGAAGCACTAGCAAATGAAAGGCTTGTTATTGATTTCTGTACAGATGTTTATAATTTCCATGTAACTCTGCATCAGAGTGGCAGTAACTGATGTACAAAATTTGACATCTTAATTATTCCTTGATGGAAAGGAGGGCCACTAACCTAAGGTACAGCAGCCTATTAACTCGGGATCTGTGGATTCAAAGCAGCCTTAGGTCACAAGAGAAATGAGTGAGACTGTCTCACTGTAGTCTTTGTGGATGTTTGCTTGCTTCTCAAAGCTGCCAGATTGTCTTCAGTGTGTCTGGAGCAGAAGGAAGCAGAAATCGTGAAATAGAAAATATTTTCCATCTAGTATTGCTAGCCTAGCTGAAATCACAAGTACTGTAAAGCTCAGGAGTAGCACATTTTATGAGCCAGCATCAGCTCACTGTGGTGTGGCTTTCCTAGAGCTATATGCCCCACCTAAACGCTAAATGCAATAAAATATGCAATCCTGACTTCTGTGATTTACCCAATTAAAAAGAGAAATTCAAGAATTCTGATGTTTGTCTAGCAGTCCTATCCAGTGGATATAGTTTAATTTCCCACAGGTTGCAGCTTTATGCAGAATTCCCATGAGCTGGGAATGTTAAATGCAAGACTAAGGGCACACATGCACCATAAGTATTAGCAGAGATTGAACAGTGACCCACAAAAAAATAATCCCAAGCCATTGATAGTATTACTGACAGGAAACAATTGCTGTATGCAGTTTATCAAGCACAAATAAATATCAGAATGTTGTCTTTGCTTTGAGCCATGTGTAACTATTATCCACAACCTATAGTACAGGAGAGGCTCTCTTCAAGATGCCATTTCCCAGCTGGTCAGCTATTTTATTTGTGCTCCTCATGGTTAAAGATCCCTTAAAAGTATATATTGTGCATTTTTGACTGCAGGATTAGATGAATACCACACAAAAGTTACATATGCATCATCATGCTGTTAGAATTGTTGTGCTTGAGGATTCCAATTCTTAGTCTAGTCACAGACAGCCCCACAGTAAGGCATCTGCATTTCAAAAACTATCCTGTTCCGAACAATAAACTGCAAGAACAGAAAATTTTATTCCCACTTCAGCAGAAAAAAAGCTCTAATATGAAAGAACAGTTGTGAGAAGTCTTAAGGCTTGACTGGCTTGTATTTCACCAATATCATCCAAAGTTATTTTAGTGATTTAAGTAGCAGCGTTATTGAATTACACAGTGCCCCAGCAGGCAAGAGAAACTTTGGGTCCTCTAATCTAATCCACTACACTCTTGTCTACTGGAGCTCGTTCGGAGTCTGCTTGTACACTGGAAAAAGGCAGCACTTTGCCATCTGCTGCAGTGACTCTTTAGTCTGCAACGCTGGTCTGCTGTTCTGTATTCACCAGTAGTAACAGTGCTGAAGGAATGAGACCAGATGAAGACGTAGAACGGGAACTGGGAACATAAAAGAAGTTTAAGTTGTAGTCCAGAGTCTTTCAGCATGCTCAGCTGCAGATACAGGATAGTGCAAACCTGAGGAACAGAACTAATTAGAATTCCATTAAAAAGAGGAGAAAAAATTTCGCCGAGACCCAAGTCACATCACGGTGGTCGAAGTGAAACCTCGCTGGCTAATGCAGCCTTAATTCATTTTATTTTGCAGAGACAGCAAGCTCACCATGTTGCTTCGAGAGTCCCTGGGGAATATGAACTGCCGCACCACAATGATAGCTCACATTTCAGCCACTGCGGGGAACTACGCTGAGACGCTGTCCACCATCCAGATTGCATCCAGAGTCCTCAGGATGAAGAAAAAGAAAACTAAGGTAAGACACATATAACTTCTTTCTTGTAGCTCTGGAAGAGGGAGCAGGAAGGAGCCCAAAAGATCCTTGATGGGGCAGCGAGGCATATAGCAAAATCAGTAACCAATTCCAAAGTGCAAAGATTGTATGTTCCTTGTCCTAGGCGAGTGGCTCAGAGCACATAGCAGAGACAGGGGAATGTAAACGCTTCAGCATCAAATAGAGGAGCGCTTTCAAACATATCTGTCTTAACAGGTTTTTAAGCTGGCCTCATTTAATGATATAGCTGAGAGTGTAAATCTTCAGTTATGTTCTTAGTGCTAATGAAATAATAAGGAATGAAGCCACTGTACAGTAAATTGGGTTTAATGAAGAGTTAGATTCTCTTTGCTTCTCACAGAGTAGGAGCAAAATGAATGCAAAGCATTGTGTCCAATGCCTGCACTGATGCCTCGTTTATTCTGATTGCCTGTAAATATGAGTGATAGATTTTCCAAGAAGTAAAGTGATGGTGGGCTATATCTAATTCCATGCTTATGGAGTCCTGGTTTCTTCTGTATAGCTTGCAATGTGAACTGCGTACAACCAGTGAATGTTTGATTTAAACTGACAGTCTACGGATTGAAAAAAACTTTGAAGAGAGACAACTGAAGGGATTAATTCCACACACCATTACAGCAATGTGTCCCCGTGAAGGGATTCATTTCACACACCGTCCCTGCAGTGTGTACCCAAGGACTCCCTTAAACATATTATACAACTTCACACATTGGCATTACAACCAAAAGGGACCGTCTTTATTTTCTGTGCCTTATTTCTGTAATGAGTTTTCTTGTTCCTGTTCACACACAAAAATAGGAATGCCTTTGGCAAATAACCAGTTTATTTGGTTGGTCTAAATTAGGTGAGGGCTCCTGATCTATTTATTCAGTACATTATTTTTTTGGAAGCCTCATGACTGAGTGTGGAACATTTAGATTTGGGGCATTGGGTACTCTGTTGAACACTGCTGTATGTTTGCTGTAAGACTGGATATAAGGATCTTCAGAGTTCTGTGCCTTTGTTTAGAGATTTCCCAGTTTAGATATATCATTTTTTGTGTATGCATACGGTTTGTGCAAGGAGCTGTTTGCAATTCTGAAATGTCATGATCTCTGTCTCTCTGATGTTGCAGTACACATCGAGTTCTTCTGGAGGAGAGAGCTCTTGTGAGGAGGGTAGGATGCGTCGGCCGACCCAGCTGAGACCCTTCCATTCTAGAAACACCGTTGACCCAGACTTCCCTATTTTGCATTTATCAAGTGATCCTGATTATTCATCCAGCAGTGAGCAGTCCTGTGACACAGTGATTTATGTTGGCCCCAATGGCACTGCACTTTCTGATAAGGAGCTGACAGATAATGAAGGTCCTCCTGACTTTGTTCCTATAGTTCCTGCACTGCAGAAGACCAAAAATGAGGGCAGGATGGAGGAAGGTAGTGAATCGGGGCCCAGCACATCTGAAAGAGATTGCCTGAAGTGCAACACCTTTGCAGAGCTCCAGGAGAGGCTGGATTGTATAGATGGCAGTGAAGAGACTAACAAATTCCCCTTTGAAGAGATGCCTGCTCAGTTTAGCTCAGACCAGATGTCTAAGTGCTCTGTCTCAAGCCAACTCGCAGAGCTTAGTCACTTACCAGCGTCAGATAAGGAAGATACGATGCCAGAATGTCAGCATCTTGATAGAGAAGCCAAGGAAAATATAAATGCTACCCCCAGCAAAACTAAGAGAAATCACTCCCCCATTCCTTCTGGAGCTCTTACTAATATTTCTACCCCTCCTTCTCCCAGGAGCGTGACAGGCAGCTCTAGTAAAGAGCTTAGCTCTTGCCAGTTAGCACACAGCACCAGCTTGCAGAGCAGCAGAGAAGGTCTCAACACCTGTGGCTTTGTGGAAGGGAAACCAAGGCCAATGGGTTCACCCCGGCTTGGCATTGCGAGCCTCTCCAAGACATCTGAGTACAAGCCACCAACTTCTCCTTCCCAGAGGTGCAAAGTCTATACACAGAAAGGAGTTCTTCCCAGCACCACACCCCCACCAGCTTCCCTGAGTAAGGACAATGAGATGACATCTACTGAATCTTTGTTACAGCCAGAAATACGGACTCCACCTGCAGGAATGAGCCCTCAGATCATGAAGAAGTCAGTGTCTTCCAGCAATGGGGATTCTGAAGAGACCATTCTCAGTGAAGACCAGCAACAAAACCATTCTCCTGAATCCAAGAAGGAGATTCTAAGCACTACTATGGTGACTGTGCAGCAGCCACTGGAACTGAATGGGGAGGACGAGCTGGTGTTCACCCTTGTAGAAGAGCTAACCATTAGTGGGGTCCTTGACAATGGGCGCCCAACCAGTATCATCAGTTTTAACAGTGACTGCTCTGTGCAGGCTTTGGCCTCTGGGTCTAGGCCAGTCAGTATTATCAGCAGCATATCTGAAGATCTTGAATGTTACTCCAGTGCAGCTCCTGTGTCTGAGGTCAGCATCACACAGTTCCTTCCACTTCCAAAGCTGGGCCTGGATGACAAGTCCCAGGATGATGGCAGCAGACGCTCATCTATCAGCTCATGGTTGAGTGAAATGAGCACAGGGAGTGACGGTGAGCAGTCATGCCACAGTTTCATTGCCCAGGCATGCTATGGGCATGGAGAAGCAATGGCAGAACCTCCTGTCTCCGACTTTGCAAGCACCATACAAAGTGCCAGCATGATTTGTGTAGGTGACAAACAGAAGCCAGTAACCGACAACATGCTTATATTGTCAGAAATGGGGGAACAAGCTTTCAGCAAAGTGCCACCCATCAAAGGCTGTAAAATATCAGCTTTAGGGAAAACTACTGTCACAATTAAAAACACTGCTAGCCTCAACAGCTGTGAGGGCTACTTCCCAATGAAGACAAACATTACTGTTTATCCATGTATTGCTGTTAATTCCTTCAAAGCACAAGACACTGATGATGCTGTATCGGTAAATGCAGACCCAAAGGTTGCTCATCCCCATGAGGGGAAAGAACCCAATGCTAAAAAAGATATCAAATTTGAAGATCCTTGGCTGAAGAGACAAGACGATGTAAAAAATGACAGCTCTGGGAGCAGTGATGGGTTGAGTTCTGACATGACCACGATTTCAGCCAAATCTGAGCAGAGCACAAAGCAGTCTCCAGCAGACAGGTTTAGCAGCAGCAGCAGCAGTGGGGATGCCTCTGTCTCCCCAGGATGTGATAGTCTGAAGAGAATTGTGGATGGGTGTGAGATGGCAGCATCTGGCTCTGCAACCCAGAGTCCAATTCATTCCAGTGATGGCTTGAAGGTGGGCAGCCTCCCTCGAGGGCTGCCTCCAAAGGCAAGCAAGCCAGAGGAGTCCGATAGTCACTTCCATTCTGCTGCCTCTGACAGCAATGGAGTTGTTTCTCCTGCCCACACCCAATTTTCTAAGGCCAGCCTAGACAAAAAAGTGGCCTCTCCCAAACATTGTGTCCTCACTCGCCCCAAAGGGACACCTCCTCTGCCTCCAGTGAGAAAGTCAAGTTTGGATCAGAAGAACAGAGCCAGCCCCCAGCACAGTGCTACCAGCAGCACCACCAGCAGTCCCTCTGGCCAGTCTGTGCCTTTCCAGGCCAGCTTCCCCGAGGAGCTGAATGCCAAACCAAAAGGCCCTGGCATTGACAACAGCAGCAACAACAGCAGCAGCAAGCTGTTCAGTGCCAAGCTGGAGCAGCTCGCCAGCAGGACCAACTCCCTTGGAAGGTCCACAGGAAGTCACTACGAGTGTCTGTCACTGGAGAGAGCAGAAAGCCTGTCCTCCGTGAACTCCAAAATGAACCCTAGCAAAGACACCACCATGCCTAGGACTGGAAGGAGCGTCAGCCGCAGTGTCATGTCCTCACCAACCAACTCAGCTCTCTCCCAGTCTGCAGGAGCGTCGCCAAAAGCTGGACAGTCAAAGATCTCAGCAGTCAGCAAGCTCCTGTTGGCAAGTCCCAAGGCCCGAAGCCTGTCTGCCTCTGCTACCAAAACACTCAGCTTTTCAACCAAGTCTCTGCCTCAGTCTGTTGGGCAGAGTTCCAGTTTGCCTCCAAGTGGGAAGAATATGTCCTGGTCAACACAGTCCCTCAGCAGAAACCGAGGCTCTAGCCTTGCTTCTAAATTGCCTCTGCGGGCTGTCAATGGACGGATTTCAGAGCTGCTCCAAGGCAGTGCCAGCTCCAGAGGCTTGCAGCTCCGAGGAAACGTGGAAGCAGATGAGCGCGGTGGCCTTCATGGAGAGGAGAAGCCAGCAGTTCATGTGCTGCCATCTCCTTACAGCAAGATCACTCCTCCTCGGAAGCCTCATCGTTGCAGCAGTGGTCATGGGAGTGATAACAGCAGTGTCCTGAGTGGGGAGCTGCCCCCCGCCATGGGGAAGACTGCCCTGTTCTACCACAGCGGAGGCAGCAGCGGCTATGAGAGCATGATGAGGGACAGCGAGGCAACAGGGAGCGCCTCTTCTGCACAAGATTCCATGAGCGAGAACAGCAGCTCAGCCAGCGGCAGGTGCCGGAGTCTCAAAACACCGAAGAAACGATCAACCACAGGTAAGCTTGAAGGGATGTGAAAGGAGAAAACAGACCAAAGCAGCTAACTTCTTCATGGTGGAGAGCCCTTTCCTGAAGATAGGCTAGTAGATCAGAGCCAGCTGTGTTTGCAGCAGAGATGAGAGGCCAGGGTAAGTGTCCCAGGCCCCAGGCTTCTTCCGAGCAACATGCACAAATGTCTGTGTTTGCACTGCATATGCAGTGGAGTCTCTCTCCCACCCATTTCACTTAGGTTTATTTCACATTAACAGAACGCTTATCTCTACAGTTATTTCATGTTGCTAGTTGCAATTAAGTATTTATTTATACAAATATTCTTCTGATTTGATTCCAAAAAGATGCCTTTATGAGGTAGTGAAATGTAATTTCAAGCACTTTGGACAAAGACTCCTCTCTTGGTACATGTGTGGCTCAGCAGCACAAGGCCAGAGTCCTGCTCAACAGCAGTAACTGCTGGGAGCTCCCTTTTGCTCCTTGTGCACTCTGAATGCCCAAAAGGTGCAAGATGCCCTGCTACTGTATCTGTCACTTCTTTCTTCCCACCTGTTTTAGAAGATGGAACAAAGTTATGCCCATGCTGTTGAAAGATCATATCCTGCCACTGAGTCTGTTGGATTTTAACTTTTGAGTTACAAGTCCTTCCTCTCCAAGTAATTTTATTATTAATAAGGTATACTATTAATATTATAAGTATGAGCACTGTTGCTTTAAAGTACTTGCAAGTCTGAGAGCAGTTAGTCATCACAGAGAGGATCAGAACGCCCAGTAGCTTTCTTACTACATTTTTTAATCAGAAAGAGCCTGCTGGTCCATGCCAGGAGTCCATGGTGTTGCAGCTCGTACTTCTCACCAGGACAATAGTTTTTCGTAGGTTTGCAGGAAAGGGATGAGGAACATCCATCAGCTGGTCACCTCACTTTTTTCTGGGTTCTGTTTTCCCAACCAGAAGTGTAAGTCCTGCCCTAACCAACTTCCTTTTTTAAAAAATGCATATAGATACTGGGACTGGTATATACCAGTATTTAAAATACCAGTGGCTGCATATTTTGCAGTAGTTCTGGCTGCAGAAATGTGTAATTCTCATAGAGTTCCTAATTCACAAAGCCATTCTCACTTGCTGGGTTACTTACCTCTGGGATTTGTTTAGAATGAATGAAATGAGTGAGGCATTACCCTCTCTTTTCTCAAGCTTTTGCTGCAGTAGCAGGAAGAACATGTGCAACACAGATGTGAACACAACGAATACCACAATTAAAACCATATTCAAAAGTACACATCTGATAATACCTGTTCTGAGGATACATCTGAAAGCCACTCTACATTGTGCAAGCAAAGGCCAAGTGATGAAATAATCTTCCTGATGTCAACTCTGCATCCTATTAGAAAGACTCTGTTCTATTCTGCATATGTGGCAGTAACTTAATTTTCCTCTTTCTAATGAGCTGCTCTTCTAATGGCTCCTTTCAAATATAAACTTCTTAATGGTAACTTGCAAGAAAAAGAAGGATGATTTTGTATATTGTGGAAAAGGAATCCAAAGCTGACCACGCAGAATGCTGGGAGCGTACTGGCAACTGACTGTGTGCTGTGGAGAAGCTGCCCATATGATATGCACTTTTTCCATAGGACATTTCCTTTTCTTTGGATTCTGTAGCAAAAATTGAGTCTTTTGCTTTCCCATTGCTTTGATAGTGAGACAGTTAAAGGCATCCAGTAACCATTCTTGAGAGAAATCCATCTGCAATAGTCTCTGTCAGGGTGGGTCACTTTCCCTTTCTTTAGCTTATGCCACAGATGGTGATTTTCAACAAAATTTGAACTAGGAATAGATGCAAAAAAATAACAATTGCTGTGAAAGCAGAGCAGCTGTACAGGTGAGGGAAAGCATAGAAAACTGAAATGTAGATTCATCCATATCAAAAACAAGAGATTATCCCCCCTCCCTTGGATCTAGCCAGCTTTGAACCTGGCCGAGCAATGGTGGTGATTTGTCATGCTGTGCAGATATGCAAAGGTAGTCAAGCAGGAAGCTTTCCTTAGCAAGGAATGTGGACAGTCTCAGCTTTGCCACTGTTTTACTGCTAACTAAAATCTGACTTTTTTTCATAATACAACTTCTTTCTTTTTTACTTTTTCAAAGTACAGCTTTCTCTCTAACTGACAAACGTATGTGTTCAGCCTAATTTCCATTGTGGCTTAGTTCCTCTCTCCCTTGTCAGCAATGTTGCAGGTGTTTACCACAGCTGGATTTTAACCTCTGTGATGGAGCAATTTCTGTGCATAGGCATCCCTGCAAGATACCTGTTCTGTTAGGCACAGCAAAATGTGGCATGTTGACATCCCTCAAAGTATGTGCAAAGCTTCTCTCTTAATTGAGTCAGTCACCTGATGTGGACAGTTTGTAAGCGTGTTTGGTTTTTTTTTTGTTATTTTGCTTTTGAGAGTGATTCCCTATATCTGCAATTAATTCCTATATTGAGAGAGTTGTGTTTCTAAGAGGAACCAGTTCTTTTAATGCAAATAAAAAAAAAAAAAAAAAAGATCTTTATTACTTTCTATATCTGTAGCAGCAACCATTGCCCAGAAATTCATAATTCTTCACTTTCTTGTAACCCAGCTCCAGTTTGAAGTTCATCCTGCAGCAGTAATATCATAATTCTGTTTTGATGTGTTTGATAATAGTATAATTTTTCACATGTCAGCAGATTTATGATGGCATAAAATTGGGATTATTACCTCAATGCAGGAGAACATGAAGGAGGATCTGAGATATACGGAAGAATAGAGTTGTTCGCAAACATATTTTTATTGCATAATAAACAAAAAAATATGCAAAGGTTTGCAATCTTTTATCCTCCGTAATTTCTCCTGTCTGTAAGTCTGTTCTCATCTGAATGAACTCTCACAAGGAACACTTTTTAATGAAAACGATAGCATACAAAGGTTCTGAGGCTCTTGAAAGATGGATATTATTTTAATACATAGTGTCAAGAGCATTGGACCTTTCCTGATTTGCAGTCAGAGATCCACTGTGCTGTAATGGATATGGCACTATAGATATGCTCATTTTAGGTCAGGCAACCTTGTCCACTTTATTTATGATTATTATTAGCAGAAATGCTAGCTGTCAGACATGATCATCATGAATCAGCCCAAGGCCCCTTTAAGAGGAGCTATAAAGAGTCTTTAGCAGAATCACCAGCAGCCCTGTCAGATCTCACAATTACTTTTGAAGTTCTGACACATTGGGGAGACATCATTTTTTTCTTGAGATTAAGATCTTGTCTTTCAATGCTTTTAAGTGCATTATTTTTATGTGTAGGTGCTTCTGTGCTGATTGTCATACATGACACATCAGACCTGTATTGACAGCTTTTGAAAGATAAAGCTAGATTACATCCTTCAGTGTAGCCCTAGGTTAAATTTTGGGCTCTACATGGGTATGTGTACAACTCACAGACAGCCCAGTGCTGTGTAAACAAAAGTAAAAAAACAAACAACAACAACAAAACAAAAAACAAAAAAACCCACCCCAATTATTAGCCCAATATATTCTGATATCTACTGAAAATCATATGTATATATCATGAACCACTTAAGCCTTCCCCCTGAAGTAACCTTTTATTTTCATAAACATTTCTGTCTTTGTAGCTTTTAACATTGGTCCTATAATGCAGCATCAGCAGATACTGCCCTAAGTGACCACTTATAGTGAAAACAGAGCTATTTAGCCCTGATAGATCACTGTATATTTCAAAGATTTGTGTGGCCACCCTTTAATCCACCTTGTGTTGCACATATTACTCTAGACTCCATTTTACAGGTGCAGAAATCAAGGCAGAGGGCTTCACTGACTCACGCAATGCCTCCACTAAGTGACAACCAGATACAGGATTAAATTGCAGGCACCCTTGACTCCTAACCTCAACCCTGACTGACTTGGCTGCACATCCTCCCTTGCCCTTGCTGAACATCAGAGAGGAGGGCTTTATCTGTTATTTTTTGCGGCAGTCCCTCCCCCCTCTCCATTCACATGCATCTGTGCAACCGTGTTTGCTCCCATTTATTTGCTTACTCTGTTAGTGCTTTTTCTGTAGGAAACAATCCGCATTTCAGCCATTTTCTTGGCTCCGAGTCTTTCTCTCAGGGAGGCAGTGCTGTCTTGAGCAGAGCACTGAGGTATTACAGCACAGTCATCACTAGCACCAATTATGTTTTATTTTTAATACCTCAGAAATTTCAAGTGCAATGGCCTCATGCTGCTCCATGGAAAGGCAATGACAAGGATGCTTTTATAGCACAGACTCTCTCGTGTCATCAGGAAGTGCATTCAGGCTTAACTCCATTTTAACCAAGCTGTATTTGTACCCTGGGAACACAACAGGGATGAGCAGGAGGCAGGCAGGGAGGCAGGGAAGGACTTGCAAGATCTGTATTGTGTTCCCAATGGTGCTGCTGGTTCGCTCTGTCACCTTGAGCAGCCTGTGTAATGTCTATTGTCTGTAACCAGCTCACAGAACTAGATCATGGCCTTGTGGAAAAGCTCTCAATGCAAAACAGGACTGGATGCTTTCAGCCATACAGCTTTGCTGCTGCTTCCAGGTGTGTGATCCCATCAGCTCTAAGCTAGCAGCTGTGCAAGAGCCCAGGCTTTAATTAGATTTACTCAGCATAGCCAGGCCATTTGCGTTCCCATGCAATGTGCTCAAATGTCTTGCTTGTGCTTTTTGCCCTGTCTTGCAGAGGATTCGGGACTGCCAGATCTGCCGGGAGGCATCCCCTGGGGATGACAGAAGGGGAGGGGCTCTGAGACAAGGTGGCAGAAAATAATGCTTTCAGAGGAAAATATAGGGATGTTCCCGAGGTTGTTTGCTTTGTTGTTCCTTTTGGGAGCAGGCTCAGGTGCCTGCGAGAGCCCCAGTACATGTGACATGTGGTGAGGCACAGGGGCTCTTGTGTGTCATTGCCTGCAGCACTCTGCTGAGCCCAGAGCCTACTCT